GATTTTCAAACAACCTGGTCTCTTTTAAAATACTTTTAATTTGTTCTTACGTGGTTTTCAGATGTAGTGACGACAACATTAAAGTTTAAAGAAGAAAATTCTAACATTTAAACCGACTAAACAATAACATAGTAAACTTGCATAATTAAACAGCAACTAAAAATGATAGGTTTTACTAAATCTTTTCCTGTGCAATCATTACTAGCATTGGAGACAAGGATAATAGTTTGTTTGAAAAAGAAAAGAACAGGCTTTGAAGTAAGCCTAAATGCGTTTAACTAGAAATAGTATTTCGAAAGTTATTAAGCACAAAAGATGAATTGCGTTTATTTTGATACACCCTGTAGAACTGTTCCATGGCAGAAAATGAAGACATGCCGCCCGCACTGTTTAATCTATATAACAATATAACAATATATATATAACAATATAGCTATTTATGCCTATTTTAAACAAGTTTTAACTAGCAAATAAAATTTAGCTTGGTTTTTCGCTCAACTAAAGTGAATGCATAGATGTACGAGGCAATGTTAGTCTTTTACAGTGGTAGTAGTTTACCACTTGCTTTCATTATTATAAAATGGGATATACAGCGATACCCATGGTAAAACGGCTCACATATTTTGTGGATACATTGCTATCCCTGTGTAACCCTCGCTGGAAGAACCCATGCTCCTTTATTAAGCTTTGTGGTGATATCAAAAATAGATGACAATAAATTTTTTATAAAGAATTCGTTCTTCTGCCAATATTTTAACGCCTATTTATGGAGTATGGACGGGGATTTCACACATAAAATTATCAAAATTTTACCCGTAAATTGGAACATGTTAAAAAAGTACGTGTCTCTGAAATTTTGCGGAAGAGCAGAGGAGGACATATATTTTATGCTGTAGAGGCTGCAAATTTCAATAGGTAATCAAATTTCAATAGGTAAGTTTAATTTCGATGTGAGACTTCTGTGTTTAAGTGTTTTAATGTTTATTAATAATGGTTTATTAATAATGGTTTATTAATAATGGTAAAGATGTAGTTTTATACCATATACTAAAACTGTCTGTACCAGTGTAGGTAGTACTAATGTGAAAATGCTGTGCCGATCGAGTGGTTATATTTATACTACCTTAAAAAATAAGCAGAAACTCGTCGTTTCGAACGAAGGGCCTTCGCTCGAAAGTACGTCAAGTTTCTGCTTATTTTTGAAGGTAGTAATATAACCACTCAGCACAGCATTTATACCATATACTCCAGATGGTTTCAGAGGTTATTAACAAGAGGTGATAAGCAATAGCCCGAAGGTCACAAAACAAAAATCCCACTTCCACACTCATTGATTAGGTTCAGAATTTGAATGCGATTGGCCATTTGTAGAAATATGTCAAACCGGTTTTGGAAATAAACATAAACAATACTGTAAGCTAAATTAGCTAATTATAGCTATAATTAGCTTACAGTAATGTTTATTTCCCAAACGGGTTTGACATATTTTTACAAATGGCCAATCTCATGCGGTATTCAAATTCTGAACCTAATCAAGTGTGGAAGTGGGATTTGAAACTGATGTGACCAGAGGCTCTTCCTTCTCACCTCTTGTTAACTTTGCCTTGCAAAGAGCCTCTGGAACCAGCAAGCTAGCCTGCTCACAGATGATGTAGTTCTTACGCCAAGCGACGAAATACTACCGTCTGCTTACCCGAGCGCCAAACTGAATTCCGCTACGTCGACCAATCAGAATTTACCTTCCAAATTCTGGAAAGTGACGTCAGTTGATTTAGGAGCGGAATAATAATAAATATATATTTTGAAAGCAGTTGTCGGTTGAATTTTGGTCAAAATTGCACATAAATTGAATTTAAAGATACTGATACTTTCATGTCCAGGTAATAAAATGCACCATTAATGATCAGATTTGGATATTAAAGATGTTCGGCTATATTTAAAATGCGGACAGGTTTGGCATATAATTTAATATACTGTATGAATCTTAGCCAGACAGCATCAAATGCCGAATATATTTTGCTAAAATTTTAACGGTTTATCTTTATAAGACAACAGAACTCGGAAGACAGAAAATTTTATATAATACTGTGGCTTAGAAAGCGAAATATTAGCTTCAAAGTAAACTAATTTGCTGTTTGAGCAACCACTTCTGAATGTAAACTGTAAACACAACACAAACCCGAGAAACTTGTATTAAAATTGCGCCGTGATGAATTTTCCAATTCGCCCAAACTTTGAAACGTTTATACTCTAACTTGGCTATACTTTTCTACATGACAATGAGAGCTTAATCTTTTAGAAGTTTTCGTCGAAGTCATGGCATATAGGAAGTATCAAGAGCAACATTTGGACATATCCTGATATACTCGAGTCCCGATTGATTGTTTGTCATTGTTACAAAAATTTAAATTTCGCCTACTGCATCGCTTTAGCACTTTATACACACCGATTGTTTGCTGAACATGCGAGAAGATGATCGCAATATTATTCTACGTAAACATGGTGAAGTTCAACGCTATAGTTTCCAAAATATATCCACGCAAGTAAACAAATTTCAAGTTTCACCCAAACAATATATTCCAATGCATGTGCAAGGGCTTTCCCCTGTAGCTAATCTCTCAATAAGGCGGCTTGCAATTGGCTCTAACTTTTTTGAACACTGCCAGATGATTGGCTCCTAAAACAAAGGGAATTGAATATGCAGCTCGGGTAAGCAGACGGTAGTATTTCGTCGCTTGGTGTAAGAACTACAACGTCTGTGAGCAGGCTACCAGCAAGCAAGCTTATTTGTCCCAAACCGGTTTGACATATTTTTACAAATGGCCAATCTCATGCGGGATTCAAATTCTGAACCTAATCAAGAGTGGAAGTGGGATTTGAAACCGATGTGACCAGAGGCTCTTCCTTCAAGCCTCTTGTTAATTTTGCCTCGCAAAGAGCCTCTGGAACCAGCAAGCCTAGAAATCACAGACACATTTTCATATTTATTACAGGGGTGGTGCCAGAAATTTTAGGAGGGGGGGTGGGCGGGGGGTGAGCCGTGAGCATGTGACTGAAGCAACACAAAGTGTCACCAAACCCCAGTAACATATCAGCAATAGAAATACCAGGCAGAAATCGAATTCTAGTTAAAATATTATTGCCCAGCAAATAACTTGTAAAAGAGGCATACCTGTATTCAAAAAACATTTGGTATATAAATTATTGACTAACTTTCGTCACATTACAAGCGACATTATCAGACTAAATACAGTTAAGCTATTTCATCTATTTTATAACAATTTTTATACAATTACAAACTGTTAAAAAGTTAAAATTAGAAATATACAATGTTCATGGTATATTGACATGTACAAGATACTGAGATTAGTGAAAGATCTAGATTAAAAAAGGAATGTTACTATTACTAACATCTTTTAAAACTGACACTAACCACTTGACATTCCTTTTTTAATCTATATCTTTCACTAATCTCAGTATCTTGTACATGTCAATGGGTCGTTCCAGAAAAGATCCACACTCCCCCACGGAGGAAATTTCTGCCGTCCGGAGGGGGAGGGGAAAGAAAATTGTTTCTGATAATAGTAAATGTATTAGGACATCTGAAGGGGGAGGGGATTAACTTCCAATTTCCTCTGTGGGGGCGGTATAGATGTTTTCTAGAATGACCCAATATACCATGAACATTGTATATTTCTATTTTTAACTTTTTAACTGTTTGTAATTGTATATCATATATATTGTCAAAATTTGTTATAAAATAGATGAAATAGCTTAATTAACTGTATTTAGTCTGATGATGTCGCTTGTAATGTGACAAAACGTTACTCAATAAATTTATATACCAAATGTTTTTTGAATATGCCTCTTTTACGAGTTATTTGCTGGGCAATAATATATTTTTTTAAACCCCAGTAAAATCTATATTCTAGGGGTGGAGCACTAGAGCCGGGAGGGGAGGTGGGTCTAGAAAGCAGAAAACAAAGTATCCCAGGAAAAATTTGGAAAAATAATGATTTCTAGCTTTGAAAAAAGTTTTTTGAAGTCGTCAATTTGTCATATCAATGGATTTGGCACGTCCGATTGTCTGTTGAGACTTGAAAGAGTTAAAGACTTAAAGTTAAATGAACCTGTAAAAGTGTAAACCCAATAGGCCAATATGCTTTTACTTTTATGAAGTTAATTATTGACATTGTGTTGTTTGAATCCGAGTACAATTTATGATGCAACTCTGATGTAAATAATATTTGGGTTGTAAAGATTAAATTTATATAGGCAAGTCTATTCCCTTAAAGAATTAAAAACTAAAAATAGTGTTCGTAAAAATTCAAAACGTTCCTTGTGTGCAAGCTATCTGCATGACAAGGCACTGCAAACAACACAAGCAATTTAACTGGGTTATACCACAGTCCACTGTTATTAGCATGGCTGGTTGGGACTCACTTGGGAGACTTAATGAAACAAAATATATAGAGAATAATACATGCATGGGTGCATGGAAATACTGCACCGGATTTATTTCGAGTGTTGAACATGATATTTCACGAAAAGTTAAACTGACTTGTACCCTACCTAGATTTTCTCAAGAAGAAATCAGAAACCCACATTTTTGGTCCCATCAAAGCAGGTGCCACAGTTCACCTGTGTCATGCTAAAGCAAAAGTCATATATATGGCATTTTCTCATTAGTGGCTATAGAAGGTATATCCAATCAAAATGCATGTATATACTGTACTGGCTAAAAATCGCCAAAATCCGACTTACGCCATTTTTGCATTTTGCACCAACAATATGTATATAATAAACATTGCTATGGGTTGTGCGGGGGAAAATACAATACACACGTGTGAAGATGGGACCAAATTATTGCATAAACCTAAACCAACATAGTTAATGACATCTTTGTTTAACATAAATAATTTAATTAATCTGTATTCTTATTTTAGCCCAATCCAACTGAACAAGGAGTTTTAAAAGATGCAAACCCACAAACTACACTGATGGTGAAGCCAAAAAACACCGTGAATAAAAAACAAAAAGTAAGTATTCCTTTGATATTTTAGTAAAATCACACGTAACATATCTGAATGTGGACTTTCAAATACCTTATTATAGTAAATTAACGATGCACTTTATTAACGCGAGATAAATTAACCTGTCATCTAATTAATGCGAATTACTTTCAGGTACTTCTAAAACTGATTAAATTAACGCGAATACGACAGTTTGACATATGATATACATAAATGTGACCTCAATCCTACCATAACTCCATAAGTAGGTGCTTGTGTGGTGTATTTCTGAATGAAAACTGAAGTGAAAATTGTCGTTTTTTGATATATGAGAAATAATCTTCCTGTGAGATTGCCTCTTGGTCATTATTATAACTGACCTTGCAATTTGCTAAACAAAAAGGTGATTGCTACTCATCGAGAAAGTGCTAAATATTAGGTCATTTTCTCGGAAATTAATGCACTAGTCAACTGAAACCCGGATCCCTGGGCATATGCTGGGTTTTAGCTTACACGACTTTGTGAGGAACATACAGAGGTTTTAGTACTTGGGGTTTTATAGTAACTCTGATAAAAACAAAAGGTACATAAAAAATTAACGAGGATCGAACTCGTTATGTACTGCATATAGTATACACGCTATACACAATGCCCCGTTTGCACCAGGGACCTGGCAACGAGTCGCATTATGCATAAAGTATAATATACAATACTTGAAGTAACAGGCCTAGCAAGTTCCTACAATACACAACACGCTATGGATAATATCTCGATTGCGCGAGCTCGGGACCTGGAAATGAGTCCATCAAAATGAGGTTGGTAGGTCAGATGCCATATTGTCATCCTCCTCCCCAGCCCCAAGCTGGTGCGGCCCTCACAGTGGCCTTGGTTCAGGCTGATTGTGCAAGCAGAACAAAATGCTGCCATTCACTTTGTCAATCAAGTACTTGATAAATACTAAATTTTCGTAAGATTACATTATAAATCAAACTCTTCAAATTATCAAATACAATTTATAAAATTGCGTTGATTCAAACAGATAGGTAGAGGGGGACAATTTACACAATAATCTTGTCGACGTTGCATACACAAGATATACATTTCTACAGTCGTGCATGAAGTGTGACTGATATCTGAGTCTTGAATACTCATAATACTGCAGTTTATAGTATCACATGCAATATCACTAAAAAAGTTCACAAATTCAGAAACGATTCTATTACTCTAAGTAAACGATATTAAATCATTTGATGCCACAGATTTTTAAAACTCTGAGCTTAGTAATACTTTTATTTTTTCTCTAACATGAAAATGCATTCTTGTTATTAGCCCAATCCAACTGAGCCAACAGATTTAAAGGATGCTAAACCACAAACTGCGCAGAAGGCGAAGCCAAAGAACGACAAGAATAAGAAACAAAAAGTAAGCGCGTAGTGTGTACGGAAAAGTCCTTGAATTGGAAGAAAAAATTCCAGGACTGGAAAGTCCTTGACAATCAGCAGAAGTTCTTGAAAGTCCTGGAATAAATTTCCTAACCCTCCACCTGTGTCAACATTAGTGATTTTGATTAAAATTACTGAATAAAGTTCAATTATTTGCTGGCCAAATCCGTGCCATTTTCAAAGATTTTTCCCACTTCTAGCTTCTTGAATTTACTGAAAAAAAGCCTTGAAAGTCCTTGAATTTCACTTTTACCAAAGGGTGGACACCTTGTAATTATTGAGTGCAGCTAAAAACTTTTTTTTGAATCTGTAGATTATCCAAATCGAAGCAGAGGAAACCCCACAACAGAACTACGCTCCAGAACTGAACGCCGTTGAACCCACCACGTCAACCCAACCTGGCACTCTAAATTTTCTAGATACCGTAGATCAAATTAGGGTTCAGAAAATTCTAGACTGCTTCAAATCCCACGAAGTTAAGGAAGTGGAGACTCAGACTTCATTTGAACCTGAAAGACTACGGCCAATTGTGGAAAAATCGGTTCAAACAGAACATGCTAACTATTCGTGCAACTGCAGTTCGACAATAGCGAAGCATTTTGAAGAACTGAATAAAAAGCTTGACTTATTCATTGCTAAGCAAGAACCATACACCCTACTGACCACACCAAACAAGCCAAAGTTTGAGTTCAATAACGATGAGTGCGAATATGCTGGATCTGTATCACCCTCGCCAACATTTGAACTCCAAGGTGGAGACGTGTTCAAAAAGCAGCAGGAACGACAACAAAAATACAACGGCAACAACCAAGAGGCACTTACCACCATCAATTTGGCTGAATGTAGCTTGCCAGGAATGCTGTAGATCACCCCATCACCACCACCATCTACACGTCCTTTAACCAATGATATTCGACCTGCGATTTTCGAAGAAACTTACAAGGAGAGTTCTTCCATGTC